TTAAGTCAAATCTTTATATTGCTCCGCAATTCTCAAAATTCCTTAATAAATTAGAATCTAAGAATTCCCAATAAATATTGTAATTATAGTATAGCTAAATTCAGATCTTAATATAAAAGTTAATATAAATAAGTTAATAAATGCTACGAATGATTCTTATGTATCTATATTCAAGACTTAGTATATGGGACTAATATAAATAAATTGATAAATATTACCTGTAAAAGTAAGTAATCTATGATAGATAAATGTAGATAAATATAACTAGATAAGTATAGATTTAAATAAACATATATAAAAATATAAATATAATAAATGTGATTATGTAATTAATTTGTTAATTTTATATCCGGGTCCTTATATATAAATATATAAATATACTTAATAACAACAAGGTAAAATCAGCACTTGAATTCTATATTCTATATTCCTTAACCATTTGTAATTCTTATTAATTCTTATTAGTACTATTATTCAGGAGATAACCAGGGTTCAAATATTAGAGATCCAATTAATCAGTTAATCAAAAGACGTGGAAAATCCAGATGGATTGTACTTTTATGCTGCATGGCTAGCTCTGGAGGGTACCAATTTGAGGAATGTTACCTTTTGTTTTCAAATCCGAACTTTTACTCTCTGTCACTCATACTGTAGTCACATCTCAGATTGACTACCATAACATCTTTACATGGGGATTCCCTTAAAGGCATTCAGAAGCTTTAACTGGTACAAAATGCAACAGCATGGGCAGTTGTCTGCAATCCAAGAATTGTGCACATTACACCTGTTTTATGAACTGTTACCAGTTTGGCTACCAGCTTGCTTCTGGATCCAATTCAAGATGCTGGTTGGAACCTTTGAAGTCCTCCATGAGTTGGGAATAGGTTATTTGAAGGCCCTCTGATCCCCAGTTACATCAACCCATCCCATCAAATCCAGCAGATGAAACATGGGGGTTTTATGGGGGGGGGTCTTGTCACCTAGAGTTTTGTAGCACAGGACCTACAAGGAAAGCTTTTTCTAATGTGGCCCCTGTCCAATGGAACATCATTCCTGCCAAGGTGAATCTGGCCCCAACCCTGATGGCGTTCTGGAAGATCCTGAAAATATGATTTTGCCAATAAGCCTTGAGATCCCATGACAGAATGGAGCCTGTTAGATGACTGTACTATTACTACTATTTACTTTATTCATTAAACATGAAACTCAGTCAACTGAACATTCAAAAATGCATCACAAATGCCATTGACTGGTGCTAATGGTTGATATGGTTTGCTGCCAGTGTCCTAGGTATCAACCAAGTATCTTCTTAAAATATACAATGTTCCAAGTAGCACATTTTTTTGCAGGTCCGCTGATGTCATTGTAGGAATCTGCAATTTATTGATGTGTTTTGTAAAATTCTTGGGCATAGTACCAAGTGCCCCGATGACAATGGGTATCACTGTTGCATGTTTTATCCATAACTGTGTAGTTTCAATGGCTAGGTTGCGATATTTCATGATTTTTTCCAGTTCTTTTTCTTCGACTCTGACGTCTCCTGGTACAGCGATATCAATAAATTGTATGCTTGACAACTATGATATCTGGCGTGTTGTGTTCCAAATGACGATCTATCTGTATTCGAAAGTCCCACAATATCTTCACCGTCTCAGTTTCGACAACTTTTTCCACTTAATGGTCCCATGACATTTTGGATACAGATAGGGCATATTTTTTACATAATGACCAGTGGATTAATTTAGCAACTCGATCATGTCTAGCTTTGTAATCAGTTTGTGTGATTTTGCTGCACTCACATATTAAGTGTGAAACAGTTTCAACTTTGTCATTGCAAAGTTGGCAGTCTGCATTGTCAGTGGATTTTTGTATCTTTGCTTTCATGGCATTCGTTTGTAGTGCTTTTTCTTGAGCAGCAAATATTAAAACTTCCATTTCTTTCTTGATGGTTATTATTATTACATCATCATCATAATTATTATTATTACTATTATTATTATCCCATCTTGCCACAAGGCAAATGCTGAAGGTAGGAAAAGGAGAAAGAGGGAAGGGGGAAAACGTCTCCACAATGTTCCTGTAGCCTTCAGGGGGAAGGTATTGGGAGGTCGATGCACGCTGTCCTCTCCCATCTGCCCCCTTGTCTGTCATCTCACAGTGACATCGCAAGTGTCACTGTGAGATGGGCATCTACACAAACAGCTAGCTGATGATAGATGATAGATAAATAGAGAGAGATTTCATTCATGGACAGTTAACATATTGTGAAATAAAGTAGAAATGGAGTTCTGACCTCCAGAAGGTTCCCTAAGGTCTACCAAGCTTCAAGGAAGACTTTCATCCATCCCACTTTCTTTTTGTATTTTCTAATACAAAAGAAGTTTGTATTATTTGTAGCTCGAGGTTGAACTATGGGGTCCTTGGTGCTCTCTGAGCTCGATTGTTTGCTTGCAGATGTTTCATTACCCAACTAGATAACATTATCAGTGCTGTTCAGTGTGGGGCTTCCTCCTTCTTAATATACATTGCTTATTGGTGGTAGCGGAGGTGTGGTTTTCTCTTTGGTAGCTCCTTGATTGTTTTCTGGTTGATTTTTTTGCTGGTATTAATTCCTGATTGCATGTTTGGTGTTAATTCCTGTGTTGGTGTAGACTGTTGGAGAGGATATGTTCCAATCTTTTTAGTTCCTTCTTAGCTTTTTTAGCTGCCTCTTTTGTATGGTGTGTAAATATGATTTATCTCTACATGCTTCCTGATTTGTCTGAATGCCAAGCTTCTAGGAATTCCATAACATTTTTGGATTTAGCTCAGTATAGAGTGCTCACTGTTTCCCAGTTGAAACTTTGGTTGTGTTTATCCATATGTTGTAAGTGTAAGGAGTTTTCTTCATGTCTTCTGACTGTGGATTTTATTTCTTGGAAGATGTTGTTGATTGTGTCATGTGTCTTCTCTAGTTGTTCCTTTTTTATTATGATAAAGGCGCCATCTACATACCAGATCTATTCTGTGGTTGTATGTATCAGTGCACTGTAATTTCTAGATACGGCATTATAGTTTCTGCTATGAACCCTGACAGTGGTGATCCCATGGGTGATTCTCTCTGATTTTTTGGTATATTTGTACATCACTAAAAGTAGGTACTGAGAAAAAGCTTGAGGAGGTCCATGATTCTGTGTATTTCAATCTTGGTGTTTTTGGCTAGGTCAGGTATGTTGTGTAATAGTAGTAGTAGTAGTAGTAGTAAAAGTAGCTTTTTATTGATTGGTCTTACAACAACAAAAAAACTAAAATAGATAAATAAAATAAAATAACAAATAAAATAACAAATAACAAAGTAAAAAATAAAAATAAAATAAAATAATAAAATAAAATAAAAGTGAAATGCAGAGTCTTCTTCCAGAAAAAAGAAATACAATAATAAAATACACATGCATTAAATATAAAGAATCAAGATTCAAATAATTGCATTGCCTTTAAACCTGACTAGGTGGCTCAGTGGCTAAGACACTGAGCTTGTCGATCAGAAAGGTCAGCAGTTCAGCGGTTCGAATCCCTAGTACAGGTCTCCTGCATGAGCAAGGGTTTGGACTAGATGACCTCCAAGGTCCCTTCCAACTCTGTTACTGTTACATCGCCTTGATGTGATACCATGATCTCTTTGATCTAATGGGTTTATAATGTCTATAAACACTTTTCTTAAGGAAAGAATCACTATAATACATGCCAAATAAGACTTCTTTCCTGATGTCAATCTGGTCATCATTAACAAAACCACAACACTTGGTGGTTTTGAGTGAAGGGGAAGTGTGAAACAGGTATCCCTTCCCACCCTACTGTATCTGATGAGAAAGAAGGGAAAAAGGCAACTCCTGCCATTCTTTTTTCTCCTTTCCACCTTTATGGTTTGTGCAATGTCCTTCACTATTCATCCCCTGCATGATACTGATCCAGGTTGTGTTTTATGTGGATATGGCTTTATTAAGTTAATTCTGGATTGCAAAATGGTTGTTTATGAAATGATACTGCGATTTAGGCTTGCTTTCTGATGTCAACAGTCCAGAGTTCAAACCCTTTAAAGAAACAAAGTCAGTCAACCGTGCATCCTTTCATAGTCAACAGATAAAAGCCTGCTTCTAAATTTCAGGAGTGTCATTTTCCTTCTGCTCTGTTCAGTGCTTTATTTCTGAAAGATATTAAATAATCATCAAGAAAGAACCATAAAGGTAATTCTAAAAGATTTATTCCTAGCATTAAGACAGATGATAGTAGTTTATTAGAAAATGTTTGATTAAGATGTTAATGATTTTAAGCTTCGTTTTAAAGTAGTTCTGTGACGTTTTACTATTAACAGGTATAGCACATACATTGTTTCATTTTTTTAAAAAAAAAAGTCATGTGGATGCAAGGATCAAAAAATTCATACATTTGTTTAGGATTAAACCAGTTTGACTTCATATATTAACCAGAATATTAAACTGATCAGTGCTATTAAAAGGTATTAAGACTTTTTGCATATGAGGCATGCATATGGTCATCTAATCATTAGAATATCAACTAGATATGTACATCTGTAATTACTATAAACTAGAAATCAGAAGGAGCTGAGTAGTATCTCACAAAAGCTTATGCCTCTTAATAAAAAGTGTTAATTTGGAAAGATGCTATCAGACTCCTGATTTGTTACTATCCCAGACTAACACAGTTCTCCTCATACAATGTATACAAAGAGTATACAAACTTCCTTGTTTTCCTCTTGATAACATTGAAGACCATAAATGTAACTTTTTGAGTTACATTTATGAGTTTTAACAGTTGTAGAAAAAAAAAGTAGACTTTTTCCAGGTTGTTTTCTCTTGGGGATCATCGCTGAAGAAGGCTGCCAAATGTGAATTATTGAAACAATAATTTCAGTAATTGTGAAGTGAGAGATCTTGACCCTCTGTTTATGCTGCTAGCATTAAGGAAGGGGAAAAAACCCTTTAATTTCTCTTTTATTGCAGCCCTGTTATTATGGAAAAAGCAGAACATGCAGCATTATTCAACTATAAAGGGTATAATTTAGCAAAAGAATTCATGAAACTTGATCTCGTTGAAGCAGTAGAAGATTTTGAAACCAGGGACAGTGATATATTCATAGACACTTATCCAAAGTCTGGTAAGAATTCTGTAATATGACATGAGCAATGTATATTTAAATTTCATACTGTAACTAAACTTTCTCCTTGGGAAGTTTCATTCTGCCCCTCTGTATGAAAGTAATATAGAAAGCTAGCATCCGCCCTCCTAAAAAAATGAAATATTCTAGAAAATATTAAAAAGGCAGAATATTATATTTTCCCTAAAGGAGAAATACGTTTCTAAAGACATAAACTCAGAGCCTCAGCTCCCTGCCCTCCCAGCAGATATTTTGGTGCCAACCTATCTACAAGACAAAAGCCTGGCCCAGTTTATCTACAAAACAAAAGACCTTCATCCTACTTGGAACTGAACCCAGAGGGACATTTCTTCCAACACTTGTGAATAGATACATTGCACTGATTATGTTGATTTCGTTTGGAATTCTGTACATGTGAGTTCCCCTCTTCACAAATAAATGCCTTTATTTTGGAACTTGGTCTGTATCATTGAAATCAGGCATTTCTTACAGAACATGCCTTGCTCACAGAACAAGCCTCACATTTCTTACATGTTGTGCATTGTTCACAGAACAAGCCTCATTGAATGCATGGTTCTACCTCCCCTTTGTTTTTTTAAGATTCTGGAGTATTTTCTATGCTGTGACTTTGAAAAAACAATTTCCAAGCTCCTTTTTTTCTCCAGAGCTCTAGAGCTAGAAAGAAGGAAAAAATGCATCTACAGTATGCAACACCACTTCCTTCCTTCCTTCCTTCCTTCCTTCCTTCCTTCCTTCCTTCCTTCCTTCCTTCCTTCCTTCCCTCCTTCCCTCCCTCCCTCCCTCCCTCCCTCCTTCCTTCCTCCCTCCCTCCCTCCCTCCCTGAGGAACTCTTGGAAGAAGAGCTCTAGAAGTAGCAAAAAATCATCCTTTTACTATGAAATTAATTCCTTCCTACTCCAACAAGGGACAAACATAAGCCCCAGAGTTTAGAAGTTCGTACATATGGGGACATAGGTTTGATAGCCTAAAAGCTCTCAAACCGGACCTTCAGAATCATAGACTACCTCATACAACTCACTATATAATCAAATACTATTCTTATATACTATAAGCAAATACTATTTAAAACATATTTAAATGCTAAATGGAACATTTCTAGATTCTAAGTGAGTTTTCTCTCTAGATGATATTTTTTTTTATTTTTTTATTTATAATTTTTTATTACTTTAACATTACAAACAACATATACAATATTTCACCCTGTGCTATACATAAGAAAGGAAGATTTGGTTCTTCGGATATATCCTCATGATCGCCAAAATCCACGTTCTCGGGGTACAGGTACCGAAGCATCCAATTTTCCCATTGCTTTCCCCATCATTTCAAATATCATTTCCTCCAATTGTTGCCAAAAATTTTTAACTTTATCACATTTGTACCACATATGTTCATAAGTCCCTAATTCCATATCACATCTCCAACATTGTTTACTAATTTTGTTATCCATTAATGACAATCTTAATGGAGTCAAATACCATTTCCGAACAACCTTATAATTATGCTCTTTAATCCTTACAGATAAAGTCTTCATAATTCTATTCTTCCAATTCACGTTCCAATCTAAATCTGATATTTTAATATTAAGTTCTTTTTCCCAATTCGTCTTCATCACCCTTTGTGGTTTTCCATCAAAATTTATAATCTTATATATCTTACTAACGAGTCCCTTTAGCCCGATTTCATCTTTCATAATTTGGAATACTAAATGTTCAAATTCAGTTTTACTTTTACTTATCGAACAGTTGTCCCTTACCTTCTTAGTCCATTTTTCTATCTGTATTTTTTCAAACCAGCCTAAACCCAATTTTTCAATGATTTCTTTTTTCCTCCTTTCATTTTCTGAAGTTTTTAACCAATCTATTATAGTTTGTATATTTTCATCTTCCATTACCCTATCACGACTTATATTAGTTTTAATCGGCCAATTTTCAATTGTCTTCCCTAAGAAAATTATATCTGGAATTAAAATTTTAACAAATTTATTCCAAATTTTACTCAGTCCCTTTAACCAATAGCTATTAATTACACATTTTGATTTTGCTTTATCTAAAAACCATGTTGAGCCAACTCTCTTGATGTCTTTTAATTCTAAATCTCTCCAATGACTATCTTCACCTTTAAATATTTTTACCACAGTCCGAATAGCATAAGCCCAATAAAAATTGAGTAGTTTGGGGATTCCTAATCCACCTTCCTTTTGATTTTGATACCACATTTTCTTCACTAATCTAGGTCTTTTCCCACCATTGCAAAATTTATCCAATTTCTTCTGATATCCTTCAATATCTTTCTCTGTCAAGTTTAACGGTAACATCTCAAATAAAAAATTGAACTTTGGCAACAACATCATCTTACACATTGCAATTCTACCAAACCAAGACAACTTTATCATTTTATATTTATCTATCTTTTTCTCAATTTCATTCATCACCACTTCATAATTTAGTTTTTTCATTTCTTTAACTTCGAGTGAAAGTGTTATGCCCAAATATTTCAATGTTTTTTTAATCCTTATCCCAAGTTGTTCTTGCATATTCTCCCACTCCTTATTATTATTCATTAATAGTTCAGATTTTGACCAATTTATTTTCAAACCTGTCATTTCCTCAAATTCTTCCAAATGCTTATGTATCTTTTTCAAATCTTTCTCTATATCTTTCAAAATAATCAAAGAATCATCCGCATACAGATTTATCTTATATCCCTTCTACCCTTCCAATTCTTCATCTTTTTCTATCATTTTTGTCAAAATTTCCATAACTAATAAAAATAATGTTGGAGACAGGGGACATCCTTGTCTCTTACCCGCTTCCAATCTTATCTCTTCTGTCAGCCTTCCATTCACCTTCACTCTTGCACTACTTTTTTGATACAGTTTTGAAATAACATGTATAAACTTATTACCAAAACCTAGTACCTCAACAATTGTTTTAATAGTTTCCCATTGTACAGAGTCAAAAGCTTTAAAAATATCTAATGATACTATACCTATTTTATCAGCATTATATTCAGCAACATCTATAATATTTAATACTCTTCTGACAATATCACTCATGTATCTACCCTTCACAAAACCTACTTGGTTATGACTTATATACCTATCTATAAATCTACTTAATCTATTACTTATAATGGCAGTAAATATCTTTGCATCTTGATTAATTAAGGAGATGGGCCGATAGGACTCAATCCTTTCTAAGTCTTTATCTGGTTTAGGGATTATAGATATCACCATTCTGTTCCATGACAACGGAACTTCTCCATCATGTAAAATTCCGTTAAATAGTTTTTGCAATTTTGGTATTATTATTATTATTTCCTTAAATTCTTTATAAAACTCAGCAGGTAATCCATCTTCACCTGGAGCTTTCCCTAATTTTATTTTTTGTATTACTCCATTAATCTCGTCTTGTGTTATATCTTCTTCCATCAAGTCTTTATATGTTTGGTCAATTTTCACAACATGTTTTTCTAAATAACTTCTCAGTTTTTCCCGATCAATTAATTTTTTCGAATATAAATTTTGAAAAAAGTTCCTGACCACTTCACATTTTTCTAATTTTTTATAGCATCTTATACCCTTATCATCTATCAAGGCTCCAATTTCTCTCTTCTCTCTTTTATTTTTCGCCATCCTTGCCAATAACTTAGAGTTTTTATTGCTAAATTCAAAAAAATTCCTATTTAAATATCTCATATTCTTTTTTACCAATTCTATATCTTCTTCTATCAATTTATTTTTTAGCAAATTTAGTTCCTCCAAAATTTTTTTTTCTTTAGTAAGCAAAAATTGATTCTCCAATTCCTTAATCTGGCTTTTATCTTTTTCAATTTTATTTTTATAATTTTTATATTTTCTGCTTGATAACTTGATACTTTCCCCTCTAAACACTGCTTTCATCACATCCCAAACAATTTCAAATTTAACCTCTCCATTATCATTCAATCTCCAACATTCTTCCCATTTTTTAAATATCCATTTTTTATCCTCCTCATTTTTATACAGTTTTTCATCATATCTCCAACAACTTCCTTTTTTCTCAAAATTAAAATCTATTTCCATCGTAACTTCTGCATGATCAGAATCCTTAAAAATTCCCACATCTATCTTATCCACATTATTCAACAAGTCTTTAGAAACTAAGATATAGTCAATTCTTGAATATGTATTATGTATCTTAGAATAAAAAGTGTACACTCTTTCAGTTCCTTTCACTTCTCTCCAGGCATCCACCACGCCGTTTTGAAACATCCATTTATTTAAGGTCCCCATTTTATTTGCTCCTCCACAACGAGTGGGGTTAGTACTATCTATTTTATCTCTAATTAAATTAAAATCCCCAGCCACAATTACTTTCCCTACACTTTCAATTTCCAAAATTTTAGTTATTTTTTCAAGAAATTCTTTTTGCTTCTCATTCGGTAAATATAAATTGACCAGTGTCACTTTTTCCTCATTAATATTTCCCACAATTATTACATATCTTCCTTCTTCATCCACAATTACTTGTTCTTTTTCAAAATATACCCTATCTGATATCAATGTTGCAACTCCTCTAGCTTTTGAAGTTCCAAAAGATTTTTCATAAATTTGCATACCCTTTATATACATTTTATTTGAGTCTTCAGATTTCTGATGGGTTTCTTGCAAAAATAATATATCTGGTAGATCTCTTTTAATTTTAAGTTCCAATCATCTTCTCTTGATCTGATTCCCTGTACCCTTCACATTCCATGTCATTATTTTTATTAAACCCATTTAAACTGTAACTTTTTTAAACCTTTCCCCTCCTCTTCCTTTCTGTGCCCAGATCCCAGCACCAGTCTCCCACATTCCAAACAACATTCAACATAGAAGAAAAAAAATAAAAAAAAAATAAATAAAAAAGGACAAAAGACACATCAAACATTAAATAACAAACAATCTTCGTCCCCCACATCCTCAATCGGTTTCCGCCTCTATAAAGAGAGTGGGGGAGAGGGGACGTGCTAATGGTCGGGTCACTTCTTTCGGGTAGTCTACTTAAATTCATCTCTCAGAGAAAAGGGTGGTAACTTCTCCCCGCACTCAGCTTCCTGCAATTCTTTTTCAAGATCCTACAATTTCTTATCCACTCCATCTCCCATTATATCATCACGACTTTTCTTTTGTTCAACCGTCACAGGTGAGATTTCCTTCCGCTTTAATCCTTTAGGGTCTTGTCCAGCAGCCCCTTTTTCTTCTGGTGTTGATGTTTTTGCATATGTTCCACCCATCTTGATTATTTGATCTTTTATCTCTGTTATGTCCTCATACTTTACAATCAATCCAAGTTCATGTAAGTATGACACTGCATCTGTTTCCAAAGTAATTATTTGCATTCTTCCTTTATAAAAAATTTTTAGTTGCTGTGGCAGCCTCCAGTTATATTTGATTCCATTGTCTCTCAGAACCTTTGTAATTGGCTTCAAAAAAAATCTCCACACTCTTTCTTCTCTTGATATATCCAGAAAGACTTGAATAATTTTCTCCTCAAATTTCAAAGCTTCACCCATCTCTCTCACTTTCACCATCACTTCCAGTTTGTCACTAAGATTTGCAAATCTGACAAGTACATTTCTATTTAAGCCGTTTTGTCTTTTAAACCCAATTCTAAAAACACTTGCCAGATTTGTTGCTGTAAATGTGATTTGTGTATCCAGGTCATTGAGCCATTTTAAAACTCGTTGTTTCAAATTGTCCACTTTTTCTTCTTGAATTCCTCGAATAACCAGATTATATTTCCTTGCTTCTTCTTCCAAAAGACAAATTTTTTTATCTTGTTGTTCATTTTTTAAAAAAAATTCTCCAATTTGCCGATCTATCTTTGCATCATGTGTATGAATCTGCTCAATTTCATCTTTAATTATTGTCATTTCTACTGTTTGCTTTGCAAAATTTTCATTCATTTCTTGCTTCATTCTTTTAATTTCCAATATCATATTATCCATACTATCTGACAGTCCTGATATCTTTTCACCAATTTTAGTTAAAGCCACAGCAACTTGTTGCATTTCTAAAGATTGTTGGGTCGCCATTTTTTAATAAGTTTTAATTATCCACTTTTGCCAAGAGGGTCTATAATGAAGATTAAGGGACAGCAATTCACAATTGAAGCTGAGACAGCTTATTATTGCACTCAAAAGGACCAGCAATAAAAGTTTATAGTTGTCAATTCAACTTACGTAATTTCCCTAAAAAAAAAAAGAAAAAGCTAACATCTGTTGGAAGGCACTGCCCAGAAATGCGTTTTGCCGCTTCGGCTCAGGCACTTTCACAAACAAAAGATCAACTTAAAATTCACATATTCTTCAAGAGAAAAAAACAAAACCCTTTCCACCGGTCTTTTGATGTTCCGTGCCTTTATCCCCCAGCAAAAACAAACACAGATCGCGGTAATAATGAGAACAAAGGCAACTATTTGCTCCAAATACGCAATCGCGATTGCCTATCTGGTCACCCCTCGCTCCTTCCACTTTCCCACGCTATGAAAAGCTTCAAAATTCGAGTCGTTCAGGGTGACCTACCGATTCAAAGTCAGTCTACTGGGCCAGTAGCTCTTCCGATACAATTTATAAAATTTTGGTCCTTATCGGTGCATTTCAAACACTTTAATCCACATTTATCTTCCGTAAAATGCCCTGCGAAGTGGAGAAAACGTCCTCACACCACCACGGCCATAACCACGCCCCCCCTCTAGATGATGTATGAGTATGTGATACAGCTACGTTTTTTTCCCGCTTAGTGATTAATTATTTCTTAATTATTTCTTTGCTTAGTGATACAACTTTGGTGATATAAGTAATGTGAAACCCAGATAATTCCTTTAACTTTAAAACAAGTTGATTTTCATTTTTAGGAACTATCTGGACCCAGAATATTGTATGCTTGATTTTGTACGAAGGCCATCGGAATGGAACAGAAAATATTTCCATATCACATCGGTGTGCATCCATAGAAAACAACTTACACAATGTGGATATCACCCAGATGCCATCACCTCGTGTCCTCATGTCCCATCTGCCATATTACCTAGTTCCCAAGAAACTGAGGGCCAAAAAAGGAAAAGTAGGTCAATCTTGTTACTCTATTCTGATTATAAAAATGAGTTAGCTGATAAACTATAATGATTGTATAAGTATATTTATGTATATATGTGTTTATATTCATAGAGGAGAAAAGCAGGAATGAACATTAGAGTACAGATTGTAGGAGAAAAAGCACTGTAATGCAACTGTATTCATTAGATAAAATGAACTGTATCAATTAGATAAAATCCTGAGTGCTTGAAAGAAGTGGAGTTTGCTCACTTTATATAAAAGTGGCTTGCCCTGCCAGTGTTGGTAGGAGTGTTCTTGGTTGTTCCTTGATTAGGCTATTGTTTATTGTGTGACTATCTAAATTAGTGGTTCCTTGATTAAGGTATTTATCGTTTGATTGCTAATATAGCCAATTACTGTATAGCCAATTACTCTAGCTCAATGTACTCTAATTCATGACATGGAAATGAGAATAAAATGTGGGCCAGTGAAATATAGTTTATATCAGGAAAAGGGAAACATTTATATAATTTTATAAGAATGTTTTTCAATGTACTTTAGAATGTATCCTCAGTTTATTAAAAATGAATGTATTTATTACAGATTACATATAATATATATTCTTGCAGGTTATTTACGTATACCGAAATCCAAAAGACACTTTAGTGTCCCTTTTTCATTATATCAACTCATTCAGGGCAGTGGAAAATTCATATAATTTGGAAGAATACATGGAAAGATTTTTATCTGGAAACGGTAAGATGGAAATAAAAACTTTAATTATCACAACACTGTCAAAAAGGGCTGGTTTGCTAGTGTGTCCCCTTGGAGTTATTAACAACAACAACACTCAGTTTGAAGCATTTCAGCAATAGGAGAGAACTTTACATTTAATGAATCCAAAGTTTCCTCATTCTCCAGTGAAACTCCAGGCTAAATCTCACTTTGCACAGTTGCTCATATTGGTTTGTGTGTGGGGAAAAATTAAACACTCATAAACTTCCACCTCTCTCTATTAAAATAAAATCCATGTCAGCCAACATAGCGATAAGGATCTAACGGGGTTCACTAGAGGAACTGCATTAAACAGTAATGGTGTAAATCTGGCCAGAGACAACATGTGGCTTGGATGAGTTGGAAAACAATCCCAACTGAGTCATTTTTCAACTCAGGGCTATCATTAATTGTCTTCACTGCCTTGCCTAACAATCCCCATCCCTGCTCTTCCTGGATGTTAAGCAACCCGGCTGGCAATTAAGCAGAGCAACGGGTGTCTCTGGGGTAGGGGAGATCCTGGGAAGCCTAGTGCAGGCCCAGGCATGTGCTGCAACACTTTTACAGCCCACTCATGGCCTGCCCCGGGCCTCCAAGGCCTGCCCCACTCTCTGAGGCAGCCCACGCTCTGCTTCCTAGACCTCAGCATCCCATAGGTCCCACAATTTATGGTAGCTGCTCCCAAAATTGCAGCCATTTGTGGAATGGAGCAACACAACCTCCACTGTAGAGAAACAGGCCGAGGGAAATTGTAGACAAACATTGTAGAGGGAGAAACATTGGGGAACAAGAACAACCTGTTCTTGTTCCCCAATGTGATCCCTGCAGCTCCAGAGATCACGCTGGGGAAGGAGAGCAGGCCACTCAGTCCCGCGGCCTCCTGGAGGCCATTTGGGTCTGCCTTGGAAGCAGAGACCATTTGGGGAGTTGCTGCAATGAATTGGGGTCTGCTCTGACATGATGCCCACTTCCTGGACACAGCCATATGGTGGAGCCATTTTCACTATGTAGGAAGGCCACATGGTGGAGTAGTTGCTTCCAGAAGGAGATCTATAGCACCAAAATGGCAACTGACTCATCAGTGATGGAGGTAGGACGGCTGGACAGCAGCCAGCGCTTCCTTGTCGATTTGGCCGTAATTGCGCTCCGTAGAGGAGAGCATTCTAGAATAGAATGCAATGGGGGCGTCTCTGCCATCTGGGAGGGCGTGGCTTAGAAGGCCCCAATTCCAAACAGGGAAGCGTCAGCAACGAGAACTAAGGGAAGGCTGTCAGTATATTGCACCAAGACAGCCTTGGATGTCAGGAGGGATTTGACAGCCGAAAAAGAGGCGGCTTTCTGGGGTCCCCAACGCCAGGGGGTCTTTTTATCTAATAAATGGTGCAGAGGTGCAAATGGTGCAATGGTTCGGCCACTGAAGCCTTGTGGGGCAAAAAGGAGCTGTAAAAATTTAAGAGGCCGAGGAAAGCTTGCAAGTCTGTCTTGTTTTTTTTTTTATTGAAAAAGTTTTACAATTACATTTTCTCCCCATTTCCCCCCCTCCCTCCCTAACCTCCCTAACCCTCCCTAACCCTCCCTTCCCCCCCTGACTTCCTCAGAATATAATCCAAATCAAAATCCCCTTTTTATAAAACTTGAACCCATCCACCCCCTATATATTTTTCACATCTTCACAAAATTCTATTATTCTATCCCTATATAATACTTTCAATTAAAAGCTATCTGGTATTTCCTAGTTTGATATTTATTCTGCACATAGTCTATCCACTTTTTCCACTCCCATAGATAAGTCTCTTGTGAACGATCTTTTAAGTATGCTGAAATCTTTGCCATATCTGCAAAACTGGCCATCTTCAAAGTCCATTCTTCAATAGTAGGCATAGCTTCATTTTTCCAATATTGACCTATCAATAATCTCGCTGCTGTTATCATATACAATATCAACTTTGTTTCACCCAATGTAAAGCCCTTAACTATACCCAACAAAAACAATTGTGGAGAAAACTGAATTTTTTTCTTCAGAACATTCTGCATAACCCACCAAATTTTTATCCAAAAGGCCTTCACTTTCTTACAAGTCCACCACATATGATAATATGTGGCGTCTAAGCAATCACATCTCCAACATTTTGGTTGAACATTAGGGTACATGCATGACAGTTTCTTAGGATCTAGATGCCATCTATAAAACATTTTATAAAAATTTTCCCTCAAATTCTGCGACTGAGTAAATTTAACATTCTGAACCCATATTTTTTCCCATGTTTCCAACATCACTGGTTCTGCAAAATTTTGTGCCCACTTTATCATACAATCTTTAACCAATTCAGTTTCTGAATCTCTTTCTAACAAAACATTATATACCCTTTTAATATGCATTGGACCTTTCTCTTTTATATGTCTAACCAATTCCTCCTCATGCATCATTATACCAGTTTTTTGGTCCTCTTTCCACCTCAGTTGAAGTTGATTATACTGTAACCAAGTTAAATTAGTTCCTTCTTCCAACAGTGTTTCTAAAGTCTTCAGTTGCCATCTGCCCGCATCTGCAAAAAGAACTTCTTTATATAACAACCCCCTGAGTGACATTATATTTGTATTCCACATGATATGACCAAGATCCAACCACAACGGTATTTTGTAGTCCTATTTAAATCGGTGCTTCTTCCAAACTCTCATCAGGGAATCTCTAAGTATATGGCTTTTGAATATTTTGTCCACTTTATTCTCATAAAATAAATAAGCATGCCAACCAAATTCAAGATCAAAACTTTCTATATTCAATATTCAGTCTTTTTCCTTCCAAACCAATCACTTGCTTGCGTCAAAGCTGCTGCTTCATAATATAATTGTAGGTTTGGAAGTTTAAGGCCTCCCCTTTCTGGAACATCTTGCATAATTTTCAGTTTCACTCTAGGTTTTTTTTCATTCCAGACAAACTTATTCAGTCCTCTTTGCCATTCTTTCAATTGTTTATCACTTTTAAGCACTGGAATCATTTGAAATAAAAAAAGAAATCTTGGCAAAATGTTCATCTTAACTGCTGCTATTCTTCCAAGTAAAGACAGCTGCAGTTTTTTCCAAGTCTCCATATCTTTCTGTATTCTCGCCACAACACCTCAAAGTTTCATATTTGATTCTGCAACCTGAACTCCTAGATATTTGACCTTTGGTATTATCTCAAAACCTGCCTTGCTTTCAAGTTCGTGTTTTCGATCTTGTGTCATATTTTTAACTATCATCTTAGTTTTATTCTGGTTCAATCTAAATCCTGATACTATACCATAATCTTTTATAATATCTTTCATCTGGATTATTGATTCCATCGGCTGTGTTAGGGTAACAACCAGATCATCTGCAAATGCCCTTATTCTGCAATCCTCTTGGCTTATCACTATTCCTTTCAAGGTACTCAAGTCCCGTATTGTATTCAACAAGACTTCTAATGTTAAAATAAATAACAATGGGGATAACGGACAACCTTGTCTTGTTCCTTTTTCAATATTAAAATCTGTTGTCAAACTTCCATTAATAATAATCTGTGCCTTTTGTTCTTGATAAATTGCTGAAACCGCCTGTATAAATTGATCCCCAAAGTCCATCTTTTTAAAAGTCTTTAATAGAAAATTCCAATCCACTCTATCAAAGGCCTTCTCCGCATCCAAGAAGACCAGCACTGCAGGGATCTGTTTATTCTTCTCAAGATATTCCAATAAATCTATAACTTGCCTTACATTGTCCTTCATATATCTGCCTTCTATAAATCCCGCTTGGTCACAATGAATCACCTCTTAAATAACTGGCATCAACCTGTTGGCTAATACTTTTGCAAATATTTTATAGTCATTATTCAGAAGAGATATTGGTCTAAAATTCTCAGGTTTTTTAGGACCTACTTGCTCTTTCGGTATCAATGAAATATAAGATGTTTTCCATGATGGGGGTATTTTACCCCCTTGTTGTATACTACAAAATAAATCTTTAAGATGCTCAATCATTTCTGCTTGTAAAGTTTTATAGTACATCGCAGTTAAACCATCCATCCCAGGAGCTTTAGCTGTTTTCAATTGTTTAATTGCGGCAATAATCTCCTCGGCTGTTATAGGATAATTCATTCTCTCCTTTTGTTGATTGGTAATTTTTGTAACTCTTTTATTTTCTAGATATTTTTCTATAAGTCCATTCTGTGTATCATTTCTGGCATATAATTTAGTATAATAATCTACAAAAACTTCTTTAATTAATTTTTGTTGAAAAATTTCCTTCCCTCCAATATCAATACTATCAATAATCTGTGTACTCTGCTTCTTCTTTAGTGTATAAGCCAACCATCTGCCCGGTTTGTTAGCATTACAAAATGTGTTATGTTTCGCAAATTGTAAATTTGTTGCTGTTTGTTCCGCCATAAGCATTTGAAATTGGTCTTTCAGAAGTTTTATAGCTCCTCATATTCTTTCATCTGTTGGATTTTTTATAAGTAACTGTTCTTTATTCTTTATTTCTGCTTCGATTTCAGATCTTTTCTTTTGTCTATTCAATTTATGTTTAGAGTTCATATGGATGAGTACCCCTCTCATATATGCTTTACTCACATCCCACACAATTTCAATAGGGGTACCCTTGTTCAAGTTCATTTCAAAAAATTCTTTCATCTGCTTTTTAAGTTCTGTTATGTTCTTTTCATATCTAAACAAATTTTCATTTACTCTCCATGATCTTCTCTCACTCTTTCCCATCTCAATTTCTATCCATACTGGGCTATGGTCAGTTAAAGTCCTTGGAAAAATCTTTGTTCTTTTTGTTTTTACAAGTAAATCGGTTGATAGTAAAATAAAATCAATCCTAGAGAAAGATCTATGTCTATCTGAAAAGAAAGTAAAGTCCAATTCTTTTGGATTATGTATTCTCCAAATATCTTTTAATTCCAAATCTTCTTTCATATCAAAAAAAGTCTGTGGTAGTTTAATCCTTGACTTCGCCGA